ATAAGGTCATTTGAGCGCGCGGGACACACCTTATATTTTCAGTTTGTAGGAAATTTTGAATTTTGCCCGGGTGGCGGCCGAAGCCTACTCTTATCGATTTTAGACCACCAAGGGATCTTTAACGTGCGCAACTTGCACACGGGCCCTCCGAGATTTTTCGCCCTTGTCCGAGAAGGCTAGGTGTAGATCTTTCCTACCAGAAGATCAGGGGTGTGGCAGAAAGACAGCAGTAAGGAGGAACCAAGGAGTAACAGTAGAAAGGCTGCAGAAAGAGTAAGGAGCCCAGAGGAGGGGTCAAAGGAGGTGAGGGGGAGGGGGCAGAAAGTGGAAATGAAAGCAGACAACAGAACATTGCTAGACAGCAGGAAAGGAGGTGAAAGGAGACAATTTTAGAGAAGAAAATTTTTTTGGTCGCTACCCGGATTCGAACCCGGGACCTTTGAATGAGAGGCCAACACCTTAACCTCTAGGCCACGAGAACCCCCTTGGCCAGTCTAACAACACAGACTTCCTCAGACTTTCTGAGAGAACACTGTTCTCAACAAAATGCAGTAACCATCCCGACGGTGAAAAAACAATTACAATATAATATTACCTACCTGTAGCTCCCAAACAGAAAAAGACAGGGAGGGGGTAGGGTTCAAGGGGAGCGGGGAGAGGTGGAAAGAGGGGGGAGGGGTGGAGAGGGAGGGGAAATGAGAGATCAAAATAATATGCTTTATGCTCCATGCAAGAGCAACTGCAAGTCAATGGGAATCAGTAAATCAAATCCCTAACGTGTTGAACTCACAACCCTATTAATTACTTTTATAATGTATTACTAACTAAAGATATAAAAAGCCAGTAATGATGGTGGTAGGTTGGTGACTAAGGTGACTTACATCGAAACATAAAAGTGGTCAATTAAAAGACTAAAGTTACCAGTTATCCAAAGGAGAATGCCAGCTTTGAACACTTCACAACACAAAAAAAATAGTGAAATGGTACCAGTATAGGTTTAACGCCCCTATCAACACTATTAGGTTATTTAGAAGGCGAGACCTCCAAGTCCATCTCCGAAAGGACCAGGCCAAAAATTGTCTTAAGTGCCTTTCCCAAGGACTCAAAGTCGGACCGAGCAGACGCTCGAAACCCCTTAACCCGCCATCTCGCGATTATGGGTCCGGTAGCCTAACCACTTGGCGACCGCCGCCACTGTCACACACAAAAGTAGGCAAACAAAAAGATGCCAGAGAGGCATTACGCATCACCTATAATTTATAAAGCCTGTGACTAAAACAAAGGCAAGGAATGATATTGTGGGGCACCGTAGTGAAATCAGGCGCTCGTCAAAAAAATCAAATCAAAGAAATCCGCATTTTTATGGCTGTTGGGCTTCTTTTTTTTTTGCTTATCACATTTTTTGTCCATTTAAAAACACATTTGTGATTGGTTTTACTTTTACAGAAAAAAAGTTGATCAAACTAATCAAAGGCACAAAAAATGTAAATTTGTAGTTTCCAACGACTCTCAAGTTTTGGAAGTCACCAAACTTTGGCAGCCATTTTCTCGCTAATTTACCTCTGAAACTAGACGACCCCAATCTCCTTCAATTGCAAATACCTCGACTTCTATAGAAGATAGATGGGCAATTTTCATAGAAAGCAAGACAAATAAACATGCTTTAAGTAGTTTAAGATGAGAGATCTACCAATAACTGCACAGACCCCAAAATTGATGAGTGCCTGATTTCACCACGGTGTCTCATAATAATTTTATATAGATCTATTCTTTAAATTTCAGCAAATCATCAATCTGCACAAGAAGATCACTGTCGATAATAATATAGTACTATGGTCACCATGTCTACACAAATGAAACCATAATAACAAACAGCATTTTTTTAAAGTCTAGATCAACTTTGACAACATAGATCTCAATCTCATAGACATAGTAGACCTAATATATTACATGTACCATGAGCACAAAATATATACAAATTGGCTATACTATCATATTCAGCCGGGCGTGGACAGCTGTAACACCTCGGGGATTAACAAATGTGTTTGACAAATCAAATGCTGGTAAGAAGGACAGAAAAAATTAAAGTGATATCACTGAGACATGGAATGGCAAATTGTACAAGCTATCCATAATTCAGAGCTTTCTGTGTTCGTGTTATCTATGGTTCTAAGGTCAAAAATATATTGTACGCATACACACACACAAGCACGCACACAAACACATATTACTAGTATTACATATAGATATATACGTGTGTGTGTTTGTGTGTGTGTGTGTGTGTGTGTGTGTGTGTGTGTGTGTGTGTGTGTGTGTGGGTGTGTGTGTGTGTGTGAGTGTGAATGTGTGCGTGTGTGTGTATGTGTGTGCGTGCACGTGCATATGTGCCTTGTGAGTGTGTGTGTGTGTGTGTGTATGTGTGTGTGTGTGAATATGTGTGTGTGTGGGTGTGGGTGTGTGAGCGTAAATAAACAAACAATTAAATAGAAATTACCTCTTCCTTATAAATGCAAGGTACATCTAACATTGTGACATTGCTAAATAATATATTCACAGCCAACCGATCGGCCCAATAAGTCTCTTTTTGCCAGGAACAGGTTAGGACAACAGAAACACTGGAAACCAGCAGAAGGAAAAGACCCAACCAAACATTCTGATGCCACCGCGTCTTTGAGACCTAAATAAATTTGGACATTTCAAATAAACCAACAATGAAAACAAAGAATGAATCAAAGCACATGAAAGTTGGAAATAAAATTAGCCAGACTCAAATTTCAGTTTAATTTACAAAGGAAAAAAAGAACGATCAAAACAAAGAAAATTCAAATTCATCCACGTAACAGTGAGTGTCTATTAGAATATGAAGATATTACTATATACACAAAATGTAGGATTTTACTATGCACTTCCAACTCACGTATAGCACGCATAAAATATATTTTTTCATTGTAACAGTAACGAGAAAAAAAAGTAAGAGGTTGGACTTATTATATTGCACAACAAGGGCTATCTCCATGCATTGACAGACCATGATCTTAATCAAGTGTCAAGGGAGATAAACATGAAATATATATGATACTTTAATTCATGTAACATCATGTGTGCAAGTCACAACAAGAATCATTTATAATCGAATGAATAAGATAAAATAATTGATTGAGATCAGAGCCCTTAAAATCTGTTCCAATCACCTGGATAAACAAAGAGATTAATCAAAGACATCACACTAGGAAATAATTTTTCCGAGTCTGAAGCTCAACCTGAATACAGATGGACTCTACGCCTGTCTCCTTTCTCAGTTTTCTTCTTTCTCAGCTTTCATTCACAAAAAGTTAAAACATGTAAAATTAATTATTCTTTTTACTTTAGGCTCTTATATGATAAATATACATGTAGTGGTACTTCATTGCAACCAGCAACCTACGAATTGTGAAGAAAGAGTAGATATCTATCTCAAGGGACTTTTTTTACTCTTCAGTTATTAGTTTTAGTAAGATATTTACAGAACTTGCAAAACAAAATAGGTCACATAAGTGCCACAGGTTAGCAGTGTGGCTGGAAAGTAACATACAAAGAGAAGAAAAAGAGAGATAGAATGATTGATGTTTGGATGGGAAATAAGGAGCAAACAACACCATAGCATCTGCACACCACTACTTTCAACTCCTTTCACATGATCTTAAAAAAGGAACGTCGGAGGAAAAAAATGCTCGCTACATATTGGTGATAATAATATGTGAGGCAGCATGGTGAAATCAGGCGCTCGTCAAAATACAGAAATCGGGAGTAACAGGTAGGCATATTTTTCCACCAGTTTGGAAATTTTCATCAATTTTTTGGCAGGGCTCAACATCTTTAATGTCCATATATATATAAAAACACATTTCCATGTGAATTTTACCGAAAAACATTGATAAAAGGCACAAAATATGTCATTTTCTTTTTTCTATGACTCTTTAGCTATTGGAGTTATCAAACTTTGCGGCAATTTTCTAACTAATTTCAACACTTAAACCAGGCAACATCACTTCATTCAATCGCAAATATCTTAAGCTCTAATCAAGATGAATGGGTATTTATTTCATTGGAAGCAAGGCAAATAAATCAGCTTTTAGATAGTACCAATAACTCAACATGCTCAAAATTTGACAAGCGCCAGATTCCAGCGCGTCATGACACACATATGATGTTCATATTATTTCACAGGGTTTGACTTTCAATGCTTTACAAGAGGTAGCAACACATAGACAGTACCTACAGTTCTCACTGATATTTACTCAAATACTCAAAGTAAGAACCCACAACATAGTAAATAGAATTATTTTGTTATCAAACCACTAAAGCTCACAATTTTATGAGAAGTTACAGTCAGAAGGCCTACCTCTGAAAACGAAATATGCCAACCAGGAAAGTACAGTCAAACCTCATTGTACCGCCCCCTGTTATACTACCAGCCCTGGATTTTATTGTGTTGGTGCTTTTTTTTGGCGGGGGGGGGGGGGGGGGGTGGTAAGTGTTTTATGGCGTTCGCAACTGTATAAGGTCATATGAGCGTGTGGGACACCAAACATTTTTAGTGGGTAGGAAATTTTTTATTTAGCCCGGGTGGCGGCCGAAGCCTACTCTTATCGATTTTGGACCATCAAGGGATGTTTAACATGCGCAATTTGCTCACGTGACCTCTGAGATTTTTTGCCCTTGTCTAAGAAGGCTAGGTGTGGATCTTACCTACCATAAAATCAAGAGTGTGGCTGAAAGACAGCAGTATAAAGGAGCCAAGGAGAAGTAGTAGAAAGGCTGCAGAAAGAGTCAGGAGCATAGAGGGAGGGGAAAGGAGGTGAGGGGGTGAAGGCAGAAAGTGGAGACGAAAGCAGACGACAGGACATCGTTAGAAAGGAGATACTTATAAAGTACAGTCAAACCTCATTGTGCCGCCCCCTGCCATATTACCAGCCCTGGGGTTTTTTGTGTTGTTGTTTGTTGTTTGTTTTTGTTTGGGGTTTTTTTTTTGAGGGGGGGGGGGGGAGTTGGTAAGTGTTTTACGGCGCTCGCAACTGTATAAGGTCATATGAGCATGTGGGACACCAAACATTTACAACAGAGGAACTGCATTGAGCCACCAGCCCTGCTGCTCCTCCAACTTCATACATGTACTTGTCCCAAGGATGGCAGTTTAATGAAGTTTGACTATACTGGGCTTGTTGTACAGCCCTCTACATCACATAAAAACATGTATAAATAACATCAATATCAATTAAGAAAAGTCCCTAAGTACACATTAAAGATTACACATGACTTCTTTTTTTAAGCTAACCTATCAGAATATTTTAAAAATCAGTCAGTTTTTCCTTTTTTGTGCAAACTATGCAAATAATATGTCACAAGCAAGTAGAAATAATGTAAGATTTCTTGAAATAATGCAACAATGCGCTTTCTATTAATTAACACTTCGGCACGCTTGAAAGTCTGATATACTCAAACTCAGCTTCCATAGTCGTGTTTTACCCGATCACTACAAAACACTTAACTTTAAATCTGTCTTTTCTACAAATGCCGTTCCCATCCTTGAATGTGAAATTATATCAAACTTCACCCACAGGTTCCATGTCTGGGTGCTTGGAGCGCATGTGACTGAGCAAGGAAGCTTTGTAGTTAAAACCCTGACTGCAGAAAGTACAAGGGAACATTTTGTCATCAGAGTGAATTCTCATGTGAATTCTCAGATTGGACTTCATAGAACACCTCTTCCCACATATGTTGCACTCAAAAAGCTTCTCCACGAAGTGGACAATTTTGAGGTGCCTGGTTAGAGCTTGTGAATGCTTGAACACTTTGAAGCACACGGAGCATGCAAGCTGGTCATTTTTATGGCAGAGCATATGAACAGCAAGCCTTTTTTCATTCTTCACCGTTTTGCCACAGATATTGCACTGTGCCTCCGCTTGCACGTCAGGGTGCATGGCTTTCATATGGCGCTTTACGCCACGCAGCATCAGACCGCACTTTGGGCAAGGACGCAGGGGACGGAATTTCATATATTTCTCATGAGTGCGTAGTGCATTCATGGAGGGGAACTTCCTGTCGCAGTGGCCACACGGGATCAACTTTTCGTCATGTTTCTCTGAATAGTGCAGCTGGAGGTGTTTCTGGAGCAGAAATTTTTCTCCACAGAAGCTGCAGATTTTCCTGTGTATGGCTTTATGCGAGTTAAAATCACTCATGTTGTCGCATATTTTATTGCACATAGAACAATGATAAATGCCCTTTTGTCTGTGAGTGTGAAGAGCATCACAGTGGCGAGTGTACTCTGCGAATGACTGACAGCTTTTACCACATACACAGCACACGAACAATGACTCGTTTGTGTGCTTTTTCCTGACGTGCATGATGATATGCCTCACTTTCTCCAAGCACACTGGGCATTCAAACATTTTGACCCCTTTGGGGCCACTCGAAGTATCGAAGACAAGACCACCGCCATGTTTTTTTTTCTCGTGCACAATGAGAGCGGCCTGATCACGACAAATTTTCCCACAGTGTTTGCAGACCGACTTCACTTCCAACTTCCTCCTGGGATGAGTCAACAACTGAGCTTTGCTCGTGAATGTTTCTTTACAATATTTACACTGATGTTCACCACCATCATCAGCTTCTGCGGAGATGACTTCATTCAGCTTTTTCGCAGCAGTCTGCTGTGCTCTTTCACTGGTCACAGAAAGTTTTACTCGTTTCCTTGGCGTTACTTTTCTTTTTTTCCCTTCTCTGGCAACATTTTTACGTTGAGAAAATGAATTATCTGGATTTGTTACTGCATCTTGTTTACCATTCCCATGCTCAGTTGTACAATGGTCAAACCACAACTGTTCTGTGCTGAAATCTTTTCCACACACACAACACAAATACAACTGGTTGACAAAGTGGATGGTATCAAAGTGTTTAACACACCCTCTGTCGCTTAGTGGTGCCATGCACACTGGGCAGATACCTTGATCCTTAAATACTTTTAAGTTAACAAACGAAAATGAACTACCGAACTGTTCCCTTAGGTCCTGCACAGTAGGGTGAACTCTGCAGTAATGCTCAAACAATGACCCTTTAGAGGAATGAATGGTGCTACAAGAAATGCACTTCACTTCACAGCTGGGGTTCAGTCTATGAGCATTCTTAGCTCTTTTACAGAAAAATGGTTTTGCACAAAACTCACAACTGTAGTAACTGGTGCCACGTTTTCCTTTGCTTGATTTCAAATCCCGTCTAGAGACTGAGGTACTGGTAACAGATTTTCCACTCCCTTGAAGGCTTGCGTTTGTGTCATCAGCAAAGTTTGACACATCTGATAATCTAGACACATTTTTCTTACCACTTGAAAGGGTAGAGCAGTTATTTTGTACTTCCTGGTCTGATTGTGAGCTTACAGGATTCTCACCTTTAACAAAAGCTGGACATGAGTCTGACACGTTCCCTTGCTGCTGAATACTCATAGTTAGAGGATCAGGGTGAGTGTTAGGGAAAACAGAAGACAACTGAGTGGATCGATGAGAAGATGAAGTAACTGTCTCATCATTCGATCTAAACTGGTTGTTGTGGTCATTCTGAAAAGTCACAGTCAATTCATCACCAGAATCATGTACCTCTTTTTTCAGTGATGGAAGACCAAGAGCATGGGACACATCAGTACCAGCAGTGCTTGCAGTAGTGGTCGTTGCAGTAGTGGTCGTCGCAGCAGAACTTTTGGCCGACGGAGCGAGATGCCTGTCCCAGACGTGAGAGCGGCTGTGTAAGCGCCAGAGTCGCTCGGTGTAGAAGGTCTCCTCACAGACGCAGCAGGCGTAAGACGGCTCTCTGAAGTGAGAGCACTCTAAGTGATTGAGTATGCTCCCCTCCTTCAGCGACTTGAGGCACAATGGACACTTGACCACCTCTTTATCCGCACACCACACGACAGGTCTGGTTAAGTTGATGTACTCTCTGAACTCTGCCTTGATATCACAGTTCGGGTGATATTTACAAAAGTGTATAAAGTAGGTCACCTTTGATGGAAATCTTTCTTGACACTCTGAGCAATAAACTCGGCAGGAAGGATTTCGCCGATGGTCAAACAACTGCTCTTTGTTACTAAAACATTTTCCACAAGTCGGACAGCTTAACTCGTTAGAGCCTGAAATCGCTTTCCGAGGCCGCTTTGACCCTACTGAAACTCGCTTGCTGCTTCGTCGGCCAGAGTTCTTCTCTATCTCAGACGTGATATCACTCTGCGACGATTCATCTTCATTCCCCGATTCTATAGATGATTCCAGAACAGCTTTTGTGTCTTCACAATCCCCTTCATTGACAGCTCCAGAAACCTGATGCCTGTCTTTAACCTCAGAAATATGTGAGTCTCTAAAACAACTTTCGTCTGCATTACTGATATCTACAGGAGGCACATTCACATTAGGAGACCTTGCGGCTTGATTTTGACTACATAGGGAACCCAAGCATTCAGAGCTCACATGTCTTTTACTATCATCTGCGGGCAAACAATCATTAGCAACAGAGTGGTTTATCTTGTCTCGGTCAATGCTATCTGAAATTCCAGTATCCTTGAGAGAGTTAAACACCAAATGAACTTTAACAGCTTCAGTAAATTTACATCTGGAGTGGAGAGCTCCATCAATGTAGACATCCACATGTCCAGAGACGTCAAATGCTTCAATACAATTGTTGTCTGGATCAAAGTAAACCATGCTTGCAAAGGTCAACCAAACCTAGTAACTAAATCTCCCAATAAAACTCAAATAGTTGGCCTAACCAAGCGCTGTGATTATTCATGTGCCCACAGTCAGTCAAGTTCTTACATAAAGAAAAAACAGCACCAACTATGGTGGCAACTATAAAACGAGGTTCAAGAATTGATTGAGAATGTCTCCACTGTGTGATAAAAAAACGGCAAAGACTTGATATGGTGGCAACAGCAGAAACTTCATCGGGACTCCTGAAGAACTCTGAAAGTACAGAAAACAAAAGCTTGATGAAATACCACACAAAACACAATGCATACATCATACACTAATGTTCAATTAATCAGAATATCTTTCTTTTTGTTTCATTCCAAATACTAATCCAAGTATTCTTCAAAATCAAGAACCACTTCTGGTTAATTCAGTTATCAGTTGCTGCTACTGTGATGCCAGCTACTTTTTCCCACTCACAGCAAGCAATTCTAGAGTTTGTATTCTTTCAGGTCAAAGGTATAGTACTAATACAAATAAAGCCACTGACCCTCTTCCGGGCATGCAGTTCAAACTTATGTGATGAGCTAGTGAACAGAAAAAGCAGTGAAACAGTGCAATATTATGTTGTTAGAAAGTTTGGGAAGGCTAAAAGAAATTTTTTAAGAAAATGTACAAATACAGTTGTTTCAAAACTCCATCGATACGATTAAGATAATTTAAGAAGTAAGCTTCAACGCTTCCTGTCAGGGCCAAAATAGGCTGAGAGGGATCGGATACAACATCCCGGTGCATATGGCTGTGAAACACCTTACCAATAAAACACAGTCGTCAATTGAAAGGAAATATGCGGCGGGGGGGGGGGAGGGTAATAAACTTCTTTATTTTCAATGCAGGTGTTTTTACATCCCCATTAATACAATTCAGAGCATTTAGTATTTAGCGAGGCCAGCTTCCATCACTACCTGTCAGAGCCAATCTCAGCTGAGAGGGATACAACATCCCAGCAGAAAGACCCCAAGATACTCAGTAAACGCCATACAACAAACACCAGTTAAACTTCTCCTTACAACTTGTCCATTTATTGTAAAAAATGTATTAAATTATTCGCAAGTTATGGTGGATTTTGTTCAATCAGCAGAGCTTTGAAATGGTTGCCATACATTCACAAACTGATACAACGCATTATTACAAATCCACTCTACATATTCAAACTATCAACAAAACAATTGAACAGACCCTCTAGACAAGGGTTACGGTGAGGTAAACCCAACCCCTATCCAGCAAATGTGAATAAAACTGGAAGATCTGAAAGTTAGCCCCTTTGAGGAGCCTTAAGATTCAAAATATCTACTTTAATCATCAACAACTTATAAAAATTTTCTGAAAAAAAACCCGAGTCTGAGAATTCTGGGGAAAAGCATGTACAGAAATAGTTGAAATAGGGCTCAGTAGAGAGAAGGGGTTCTTTATATTCTGGAGGTAATGTTCGCCTCTCATTCTAAAGGTCCCCGGTTCAGAACCTGGAAGCGCCAAAATAATTTTGTCTCTGAAATCGTCTCCTTTCACCTCCTTTCATGTTCTCCAGTCCTGTTCTTGCTTTCATCTCTACTTTCTCCCTCCCCCCCTCCCCCACCCCCATCTCCACAGGGTTCCTCTCTGCTTTACTCCTGATTCTTTCTACTGCTACTCCTGGCTGCTTCTTACTGCTGTTTTTCAACGGCACCCCTGATCTAGGAGTAGGTTAGATCGAACACCTTGTCTCCTTGGATGGGTGAAAAATCCCAGAGGGCCCATGTGCAAGCTGCTCACATAAAAGATCCTTTGACTTTGGTGTTCCTAAAATGGATAGGAGTTGGCTTCAGCTTCCAGTAGGGCAAAATTCAAGATAAATTCCTACCAAAATATTTTGGCTTCCAAAAACTTAAAATACACTTAACCCTGGAAGCACACAGGCCCTTTATAAATATAATGGGCGTGAGCTCTATTCATAAAGGGCTGAGCTACTTCGACCGGGAAGCGCGCAGGCCCTAAGGGCATAGACGCTGACCTTTTTCAATGGAAAATTTCAGTATTCCTTATATGGAAAATGATGTAGTAAATTACAGGTCAAAGTTATAAATAGTGACCAATGACTTTGTACTTTGTAAGTTATCTTGACCTCGTAGAGCGTCTCTTGGCCAAGATATCGATTGATAAAGTGACGCGGTCCAGCTGAGCGACTACACACTATGACTATGTGTTATCACTTGTTCCGCTGTACTAATGTATTAATTGTTGAGTTTACCACGTTTTGCACTTTGTTTGTATTTATTTGATCGCTTATCATTTTTTAATGGCTCATTCTATCAGCTTTAAGAAAAGATGCGGTTTTATATGCCTTTTATGATCTGTTGAGTCATAAATGGTCATTTTCAGGAGCAGGTATACCTCTCGGGTATCTCAGCTAATATCCCCCTGCCAAACCCCCATGTTTACAACCGATCAGCCGTGGCGGCGGGGCATTTTTGGCGGGTTACTTCTGTTGAAACGCAGAGCGCTTCTAGGTCTAATAAATAGATCTAGATTTAGATTTAGACCTAGTCATTATAAAAACATAGCAGTAGGCTTATCTATGACAAAGGAATGCGGCTGCCAGAGGGCATTGGGCTCCACAAAGTCAGCAAAACAGTTACATACGTAAAAATCGGTTGCACTGCAGGTTGAAGCAGTCAACTAGCCCTGAAATGGGTAATGCAAAGATAAAGAAGAAGGGTTAAACAGAGATGTCACTAAACTCTAGCGAAACTCTCTGCACTAAACTGGACACTGGTTATATATATATATATTTGGCGACTTGGAAACACACGTGTCACTTTTCCCATAAAACTACGACAGCTACAGATTTGAAAGTTGGCAAGTCCTGAATTTAGAAAATTATATATTTGACAAAAAGTTCCCATCCTTTTTTGGCCTTTGTGATTATTCCACTGAGAAATGAAACAAATCTGCGTTGCTGTCCTTCACAGCGGTGGTGCCAGAAGTGAATAAATATTTTCAATTTTGCAAGGCACATTTTGTGTTGAGAGTATACTTGAGTATAGATCTAGACCTTCTAATATTTTGCATCTCTCTAGATTTATAGCTCTCAATTCCAGTAGAATGTAAATATAGTAGGCTAATGACTTTCAGTTGATGTTAATGCACCGATCATTCCTTTCATCGAAAAGGGGCCCATCTAGACTAGATTTAGTTTCTTTTTTATTGCAGTGACTATTTCTCCGAACGTTCTGGAAAATAAACTTGAACTCTTTTTCCCCGAACAGTTTCCGTTCTCGAGATTTTTGGGTTACTTGCAAGAGTTCAGCGTCATATTTCATTCTGTCATTCTGCAAGGACTGGGAAGAAGCATTTTTTAGCATCGAATTCAATTTCTAAAGCAAGAGATTTTTAGATGTCTGAATATTAGTAGGTACCAGAAACTAAATTTTCAAAGTAACTGTATGCCAAATTTATCTGTTCCATTTGAAAGGCCTATATCCACTGAGCATTTTGGTACCATTCTTTAACCTCTCAGTCAATTTTTAAGAAAATGGTAGTTGTTTAAAATTTGATCAAATTTGTAAAAGTCAGTCACTGGTTGCAACCCCATGTTTGACAAACAATAAAAGAGTACCAAGAGCACTAAACATCTCCACATTAACAGAGTACAATCACTATAACAAATATGTAGCCTAATTTTTTTCAAGACTGTGAGATCATTACAAATCAGTATTTTATCGCCTCAAATACGATAATCTGTCGTTATTTCAACAAAAACACCGAGCGTTGACCCGGCCGGCGCCGCACCGGCCCCCGCGGTGAGCGAGACGGCTCTATACTGTAGTGTACCCTGCATGCGGGGTCACATGCTTTCCGAGTCTCGCGGAAGGATCGATGAAAAATAATTCCAAGCCGATTACTTATAATAGGAAATAAACTGATCATTTAATTGCAACTTTTTATAAGCCGGTATTTCACATATTTTGTGTAAAAAGTGATCTTTAAACATTTTGACAGTATCTTTAAAAGCTTTCTATTTAGACGCCAAAGGCCAAATATATATCACGGGAAAGCCCGTTTAAAGCTCTACAGTTCTCCACCAATGAAAAGACGATATTTAATCATCCCTCGTTCCGCGAAGCATTTGAATGCACGCGTGTCAATTTTTCAACCGGCCGACCACGCATTCCAACCGCGAGGGGCTTCGTTTTCATCGGCGATTCTCCAGCTCCTAATAATCGGACATATAAACAACTTACACCATTGTAACGAGGAAAAGCTGAACTTTTACAAGGTGTACGGCATTTGGTGTTTTATAGCGAAAGAGCAAAGAAACAGCGATCGGAATTACCCCGATTTCACCAATACTACGCCGTCGGAAGGCAGCGAGTGCCCGCGAGGCCGTGTTCACACTATCTAATATTAGATAAATTTTTACTTATAAATGCACCCACACACAGATACATTGATTTGAAGGCTAAACTGCTATAATTTTTGCTGTAGAACACACGTATGGAAAATAAAACCTTTGCAAATCAATTGCTTTGAAGTAAATATATCAATTCTAATTGCCAAAACATCAAATCATTGTGAAATGGGGGGGGGGGGGCATGTTGTTAAAAATCAAGTCAAATATTGCGATTTTCAAACATCAATAAAACTCAATATAACTCTTGATTAGTGGGGACAATGAAGGTCATAGATGATCTTCATGTTCAGCATGCAAAAATACTATAATACTAGAAAAAAAAGTACATAAACATGACATGCCGTTAAACTTAGAAATGACGCATCTTTCTGATTGGCTGCTAATTTTAGTAATGTGATGTCATCTCTTCCTGGGATACCCACATGGAACGACATATTTTCGGTAACATTTTGGATTTTCTAGATCTAAATTCTAGATTAGATCTGGATCTATTAGGCCTACCTGGACATGATGGAAGACCGCACGAAAATTGCCATAAAGACGCAGGAGGACTAGATAATATCTAGATCTAGATATCTAAATTTAGATCTACCAACCCCCCCCCCCCCCCTTCCTGCATTTTTAATCACTAATACATTTTTTAAAATAAACAACAACTTCAAAGCAACTCTACAAATTAGGCCTATAATTTATGGAACTGTTGGTCAGTCAGGAGGAGGAAAAGAGAAAAAAAAAACTGTCCGGGACTGGAATCGAACCGCTCCAAAAGCCATATTGCTCGACATCAAACGCAGACGTGCTATCAAATCAGCTATCAGAACTTCTGAGAAAATGGTGTAGATTAAGCATAATATACATAGACACTTCCATCTTTGGTGCCATGCGGTTGTCTATACTTAGATGTAGTCACGTGATCGGAGGGGTATCCTGGTCTGACGTCAAACAAGATGGGCGCCTTACCTAAAAATAGTTTGCATCATTTCTACTTTTAATCGCATGTATAAACATGTACATAAGACGGGTAAAAAAAAACCCAGAATATTCAGATAGGCCTACTTCAATTGTGGTTGGGACAACGTTCGCGGGCTATACTTCATTTGAAAATGCCTTGAAAAGGTACAGCGAGAAAATAAGACTTTTCGACTTTGGCAGTAACCTATTTTGCATTTAGTCACCCCTAGGGCAAAAACTAAATCACAAAAAAAATCCCTATGACACCCCCCCCCCCCCCACTTCCCACCCTCCCGTTCACATCTTACACACACACTCACACCCACACGGGCCACTCCATTCGTCGTCGCAAGTAACCAAAAAATCTTGGGAACGGAAACCGTCGTTTTCGAGTTCAAAGAGTTCAAGTTATTTTCCCTGAGTGTTCGGAGAAATAGAGCCGGCCTTTTTTTATTTCTAGATCTATCTAGATTTATCTGTGTCTGCTGGAACATGTCGTGTGTTCTAGATCTGCACGACAACCTTGGACGGACTTGGGACTTGTATTGTTTGTTGGACTTGGACCGTGTTATCTGTCTGAGTTGAGTTACAGTTCAGTCGTGTTGTTATATAATGCTGTAGCATTCTAGGAATAGAATGGACACCCGTGTGACTTCTTTACAGCATGGTAGTGCACAAGAGTGGATAAAAAGAATAAATCGTATTTACAATAAGCAAAACATCTTAAATAAATATCACCTAATTTCGAAAGTAGAAAGAACTTACTACAGGACCAAAACAGGAAGTTGATCGACAATCGACAAAATAAATGATGAAAGATAGATTCTACCTTCAACATTAAAGAACAAATTTGATCTTCGGTCGCTATTTTTATTCGCAATACATATTATTATCATTAATTACTCTCTCTCTCTCTCTCTCTCTCTCTCTCTCTCTCTCTCTCTCTCTCTCTCTCTC